TTCTTTTTTGGACGCCTATGCGGATCCCAATTGGAATCCCTATGCGGACCCTTATGCGGTTTCCTATGGAGATCACTGTGCGGATCCGTATACGAATCCTTATGCGAATTGCCATGCGGATCCGTCTGCGGATCCGTATGCGTATCCGTCTGCGGATCCCTATGCGGATCCCTATCCAGATTCCTGTGCGGATCTCTATACGGACCTCTCTGTGCGGATCCGCATGCGGATCCTTATGGGAATCCCCATGCGGATCCCTATGCAGATCCCTTTGCAGATCCCGATGGATATCCCTATGCGATCCCCACGCGGGCGAATCCCCATGCGGATTTCTATGCAGATTCTTATGCGGATCCCTATCCGGTTCCCTATTCGGATCCTTCGTGCGCACGGCGGCAGTGCCGGGGGTGGGGGCCATGACGCACGTTATGGCCGAGGCACAAGAGACACACGCTCATCTCTTCGGACCGTCCGAAAGCAAAGCGGTCCTTGTAAGCAGAGGCGATGTCCGCAAGCGAGCGGAGCTCATCCGCAAGTAGAGCCTGGAAGATAGGATGGAGGGAAGACACGAGCGACCAGCTCCTGAATGCTAGTGACGCCGAGGGAGCGGCCGAGGAGCGGCTCAAGAGATCCCCGGGGGGGGACCCAAATTGGGGGTTCGAGGCCGTGATTTCTGTGCCGCAATTTCCTTCCCCAGGTAGGTGTGTGTGTATACATGTACTATAACCACGCGCGCGCTACGCGCGCGCTTAGGTTCTAGCCGACTGCGCAGTCGTCTGATCCGCGAAACCCAAAGTACCCAGGGAGAGGTTCCCCAGGCAAGGACCGCCCTTGCGTGGAGGTGCTGGGCCTTCTGGAGGGGCTTGCGGCTCGGTGGGCGGTCGCGGAGCCGTGCGAGAATCGACGTGCGGCGCGTCGGAAAGTTCCGCATGTTTTCCAGACTGCGCAAGTGCCGTGACTGCCACGGTGGCCGAGGAGGGCCCCAGAAGCTCTGGGCCGCCAGGCCGTCGCCGCCACCGCCGCCCCGGCGAGCGCCGCCGCCGCCGTCGCAATGATCGTCGTGGTGGTCGCCGTCCATGGACGTGAACGGACGATTGCACGTTTTGGGGCGTGTTTTGCTTTACCGGGGCCTCGGGACTCTGGATATCTGCGGGGCCTCAAAGGCCTCCAGAAACCTCCTGGTGCTCTCCTGAAGCTCCCACAGGCCCCCACGAGAGCTTGTGAGGATAGCCTGGGAGGGCCCACAGGGGCGCCAAGGGAGCTCCCGGGGAGGCCCCAGCGCCCCAACAATCTAACACAAATTTGACACGCCGCCGTCCTTGACGAGGAAGCGGTTTGTGTTAAATTTGGGACCCTCTTGGGACTGTCTCGGAGCTCTCTTGGGGCGTCTTGGGCGCCTCTACTGCCGTGTTGGGGTTCTCTTGGGCGGTCTTGGGGCTCCCTTGGGGCCCTCTTGGGCCGGTTCGGGGCGGTCTTGGGGGCCTGTTGAGCGCTGGAAGCTCGAAAAGTCGAGACCTTCCAGAACACAGAAGACCTACGGAATATCCTTGGTCTTTGCCTCTTGCGCCCACCTGGGGAGCGCTCATCGAGACCTCTCGGGCCGTCCGGGGGCACCTCGGGGCTTCAGGGGGCGTCTGGCCGAAGGTCCCCCCAGGATTTCCGCGGGGGCGCCCTCCGCCTCCAGGGCGCCCCTCACGAGGCCCACGGGGTCCCAGGGGCTCCAAACTTGAGCGAAAAGCTGGGGGCACTTTGGGCCAGGGACTCGTTGAACAATCCCCGACCCAAACATGCTCGCGTCGTGGCAAAGTCAAGGCGGCAGGCGTGAGGCCGTTTTCGGCCCCTGGGGCCCTCGCCGTGCCCCCGGACCGTCAAAGAGCGGCCCGGGATGACACGCTGTCCCCTGGGGAAAGGGTCGGGACTTCCAGGGACCCCGCACTGAGAGAATCAGGACGTCACATGTCTGGGCAGTGTCGCCCGGTGTCGGGGGTCGGGACCCTGGCAGATCGATCCGGTTCGAAAAATAGCGCAGAAACATGGGGTCAGGGGCTCCGGTTGCATTTTTTCGCTGCTGTTGATGGGGTCGGAGGATGGCGCCGTATGCCGATGCATCTCAGATGCATCGGCGATGCGTCGGCGACGTCGGCGATTCATCGGCGCCGTCGGCGCGGAGAACATCGGGATCCACGTCGAGCCGCATCGGCGATGTTTCGGCGGTGCGGCGCGATCCTCCGACCCCATCTGTTCTTGTTCGGCCCAAGACCCAAATCTCGGACGACCCTGCGATCTGGGCATCGCATTTGTTTCTCTGTGCGTTTTCGCCGAGCCTCGGGGCTCGGGACCATCACGGATCGATCCGGCTCAAGAGATGGTACAGAAAGATTGGGTCTGAGGCTCCAATCGTGATTTTTCGTGACGTCGCAATATTGTCGCAACGTCGGAGGTCAGGGTTCCTTGTGTGACCGTGTATTTCTTTCCCGGGTAACGGCCGTTACCCGGGGCGGGGGGGTCGGGCGGGAAGGTTCAGAGTAACGCCGGCCGCGGCGTAGCCCCGTCAGGGTGCGTCCGCGCCGCCAGCGCATCAATCGTCTGTGCACCCCCATCATGTGGAGGGGGGTCGAGGCCACATCCCTTGAGTGGCGGGGCCCCCACAAGACCTAGCCCCCCGCGGCGGCTGACACGGACCATGACCAAGGTCGGCATCAACAAATACCGCGATATCCTGGCCATGGTTTCCGTGTGTCTTGTCTCGTCTATGGGCCCTAGTTGGGAGGCTCGGAGCTTGCGAATTCGGACCGAGGCGCTGCCCTCTGCAAGGTCACTCTGGAGCCTCGCAAGGGGCCCAGGAACAAGAGTGCCGCCTCCATCGACAAGAGGAGGAATAGGAGACGCAGGACGAGAGGAGGCGGGCTGAGGCAGGACAGATAATAACGACATCGAGGGGGTCATGGGGCGGAAGCAGGGGGCGGGGGACGAGAAGTGATATCGAGGCCCTACTCAGCTGCTGCTCCTCCCACCAATCTTCCCTTGTTTCTCCCCTTCTGTTCCTCCTGATTCTCCGCTTTCCTCATTCCCTGACTCCTACCTTCGGCTTTTCGTGGTCCATTGGTTTCGTCTCTCCTTCTCCTTCCCGAGCGCCCTGCCCCCCCCCACGGATGTGGGCCATCCCGGGCCATCCATGGCACCGCTGTCCCGGGCCTGCAAGAACCTCCAAGGAGAGCTTCAAGACGGCTCAAGACGCCCTCGAGAGGACCGAGGAGGGCCACAAAGCTTCCAACGACGACCCCCGATGGACCTGGACGTCAGGACCACGGAGAGGCCCGCAAAAGGCACCGCGACAGGCTCAAACAGGCCTCCAAGGAGCCCCCAAAGGGCGCCAAGGGAGTACCCACAGCGCCCCCCGAGCCCCAACAATGTAACGGCAATTTAACACAACACCGTCCTTGACGAGGAAGCGGTTCGTGTTAAAGTTGTGTTAAGTTTAAAGGCCCTCTTGGGGCCGTCTCGGAGCTCTCTTGGGGTGTCGTGGGCGCGTCTAGGGCCGTCTAGGGGTTCTCTTCGGCCGTCCTGGGACCCTCGCTGGGCCCTCTTGGGCCATCTCGGGGCGGTCTTGAGGGCCTCTTGGGACGTCGTGGAGCGCCAGAAGCTCGAAAAGTCGAGACCTTCGAAACCACCTAAAAAGCCACGCCAAATCTTCTGTTTTTGCCTCTTGCGGCCATCTGGGGGCGCTGCTCGAGTCCTGCAACGCCGTCTGGGGGCATCTGGGACGGAAGACTCGAAAGATCGCTTCGGGCTCCTGCGCTCGAGCCCCTCGTGGGACCGTCTTGGGCCGTCGTGGGCCCCTCTTGGGGCCGTCTTGGGACCCTCTTGGGCCCGTCTTTGGGCGCTCTTGGGGGGCTCTTGGCGGGCCGTCTTGGGACCGTCTTGGAGGCCTCTGGGGACGTCGCGGAGCGTCGGAAGCTCTGAAAGTCCAGAGGCCCGAAAGCATCGAAAATCGTTGGAACATCTATGATTGTTGCCTCTTGGGGCCCCACTGGAGAAGGCTCGGAGAGCCCTTTTGGGCCGTCTGGGGACATCTTGGGACGGACGGGTCGACTTGTCCTTTCGGTCTCCTGCTCGTGGGCCCCTCTTGGGGCCGTCGTGGGGCCCTCTTGGGCCCCTCTTGGAGCCGTCTTGGGACCCTCTTGGCCCGTTTTGGGGCGGTCTTGGGGATCTCTGGGGCCGTCTTGGGGCGGTCTTGGAGGCCTCTTGGGCCGTCGGGCAGCGTCGGAAGCTCGAAAGTCGAGAATCCGAACAACATTGAAAAACCAATGGTAACTCAATGGTTTTTGCATCTTGGGGCCCTCTGGGGAGCGAAGGTGGAGTCCTCTTTGGCCGTCTTGAAGCTGTCTGGGGCTGCCTGGAAGCCCCGCGGGACATTATGAAGCCTTCTGGTGTCTCTGTGGTACCACTTAAGGCCGTCTGGGCGGCTCTGAGGTCGTTGGAGAGGGCCCCCAGGGAGCCCGGAGCCACCATGGCGACCCGAGGCAGCTGGGAGAAGGCCCCTGGCCCTGAACCTATATATATATATATATATATATATACAGAGACAGAGACTGCGTATGTATATATACATACATATATATATATATATATGTGTCTAAATATAAATACACATACAAACATACATAACATAGATACAAGCAGGTGGTATTCCATAATATGTGTATGTGTATATAGGTATATAGGTAGGTATGTATATGTATGTGTGTTTATCTATGTATACACATTCCGTGCACGGTGAACAGTGTGTTATGCGTATTTGCTTCACATGTATTTCATCATTTCGCTTGTGCTGCGCAGATTGCAAAACATCAGCTGCAGTGCGTAGCTTGCACCATACACGTATCGTGCCACATGTTTTGTTACCCATCGAACGTGCAAGACCTTCCTGTTTGGAGTCCACGCTGGCTGACATCATACATGTTTCGAATAATCAGTATTGGACGCCTTGGAACGTACCGTTAAGATCAGAGGTGCCCCTCGCGAAACATTTTGTCAACGAATCTGGAGACATCCTGCGCCGGGAGCCTTGACAAGCAATCTATGAAGGCACTCCCTACCATATCCAGAATAGCGCACAGATGCACCAACAGTCTATTCGTGTCTGCCCTTCTCAATATTATCCAGGGTGATCTGAGGGACCTGGAAAGACTCAACGGGTGCTCGAACCCTGTCCCGGCACGCGGGTGCGAGCGCCGAGGGGTGTCCCTGAGAGCGCGCTCCTTTGTTCACCGCGAAGGCCTAACATGTGATCTGAACCACCCTACTTCTCAAAATTGAACATGATTTCAGAGCTCTGGCTGTTTCCAGCTGAATTGCGAAGGTCTACAAAAAAGGGCTCGGCTTGAGGTCCAGGGGGCCTCCCCGTCTCAAGCGAAACCGCGCCCACATGACTGCGTCTCTAATTGCGCGTCCCTGTGCAGCCTGGACGCCTGAGACCTTCAAAGAAACGCCAGGCAAAGCGGGCGCAACCCACAAGCCGACCTGCAGTAAGCAAACTCATGAGGTGAACCGTGGCCTGAGAGAGATCGAGCGTGAAAGGTGACGAATTACCCCATAAGCTGCTTTCTGACTGAGTGCGTTCCTCTCCAGTGGCCCTCTCCATGGCAGCGCGTGTCGCCTCGAAGCACACATACCTTGTCCTTCGGACTGCTGGTGCTGGGGCCTTGGGGCGTACAACAGACGCGGGAAGCACACATGAGAAGCTGGGTTGTGTCCTGCGGCGTGACGAGTGCATGCGTGCACGGTTTTGTGAAACAGGTATCGAAAACGGAGAGCTGCAATCAAGCGGTCTCACTTGCATTGCTGGGTACTCTTGTCTTCGCGCCGTGACAGCCATCTCAAGCTCCACCCTGGCTCATACTCCGGCGAGAAGGGCGTCCGCCACGACCAGAAGTAGTGCTCAATGCCAGCATTTCCGAATGAAGTGATCTGATCATTTAAAACTGCCTCCACTACGCTGCGTTCTTTACATGCAACGGTCGGTTCTGTCCACGTGCCCACCGAAAGCTCCGAGACCGCCTTCTTGGTATTGATATAATGGGATATTTCCGATATGAAATCGGTGACACAAGAACGCGCGATTTCACTAATGTCGCTGGGCTTACTGGAACAAGCGAAACCACCTGGTGGATCAAGTCCCCAAGCCGGCCAAGTGCCTGGGCAAGATGCTTGTTGAGTCCAGTTCGTACAGCCACCACAAGTGCGATTCCACGCGATGTAGTAGTGCATGTCGAAGTATGCCCACGAGTTTCGTTCGTCGTCGTTGAAAGTGCGCTTGAACCATGGCACAACAGTATCCCAGAACGACTCTCTTTCTTCCAATGCGAGCATCTGCTTTTGGAGATTCACATACAAGCGGACACCATTGCTTGGCAACGTTGAATCACGGAATGTACGAGCACCTGCAGCAAGCCAACTCAGTACGTCGTCAACATGACTGTAGTACGGCCAAGCCACAAGTGCAGGCTCATTCATAAGGGTTACACCAATTACCGACGAGTGTTCCGTGTCGAGGCTCTGGACGAAGTCAACGACCGCCTGGACTACATACTGTCCACATCGCTGGAGACTGATGCTGGTGTTCCCGATTCTGCTATTCTTCAGCCAAAACATTGGGGGGTTGGGTGCTACACCATTGTAGGATGCCGCAGAGGAACCACCAGGCATGGCATGCAAGTCCAGCATGACACCGAGATCCAACTGTTTCGCATGCTTCAAGAACTGCCTCAACAACTTACGGGGCACAGTCGCGTATGATATGTTCGAATGCCAATATGGGTCAGGTATCACCACCGACTCCTCCTCTAAGTCGTGTTTTGCATAGATGTTGACATCCACGATCGCCAACGCTTCTGGGAATGTATGCCACCCTAGCGGCACACGCACATACTTGATGCCCAATGCTTTTACCATTTCCAGGTCTTGATTACTGATGAAGGTCTCTCTGTGCCGTGCGAAAACCTTGATGGCCTCTGTGGGCCCGACGGATTCGTTCAGCTTGAACCCCAAATCCCCTTCGGACGCCCAGGTCAAGGCCGGGATATCCTTGCTGGGGAGCAACGGCGGCAAACACTTCCCGCCAGACGACATCCACTCTTCGAGGAGCAGCCATCCGCCGAAGTTCGTACCGTCGGGGACGGTCGAGAAGCGTGGCCCCTCCTGGGCCACAGCAGGCTCATCGCGGAGCCTCTTCACCTCGGGCGGCTTCTCCACCTCGTCCTGGTCCAGCGCGGCCCCCTCGATGGGCCGCGCCAGGCCAGAGTGTGGAGAGACGGGCCGTCGCCAGAGCGAGCCGACGGAACTGGTGACCAGGAGCCCCGCCTTGGTGGCAGGCGCGCTAAGTTGGGTCCGAGTGGGGTGGCTTTCCGAGCGGGCACACGGGGGGCGCTCCTCAGAGGACGCCTCCCGCCCTCCGAGGAGCTCTCTTGGATTCTTCCGGGCCACTCCAAGAGGCCCGCTGTCTTCTTGGGGCGCCCCTCTCCCCCTGGCGCTTCCCGCCTCCCCCCGAAATTGTTTTGTGGTTCCCATCCATCCTGTGGTGTTGGGTCCTCGTTTTGAAGAGATAGCACCCCGCGTTCTTCCTCCTCCTTCTTCTCCTCCTCCTCGCTCCTCCTCCCCATTCTCCTATCCCTGCCCCTGCCCTCCGCACCCAGTACAAAGTTTCGTGGCCTCACAAGGAGTTCCACCAGAGGGCGCGGTGGCTGTGATCACACGCGTCCCGCGCCACCCAGTACGGCGCTTCGTTGCCCCGTAGGGAGCTCCTCCGAAGGCCCCGGTGTCTGTGACCACATGCGTCCCGCGCCACACAGTACGGCGTTTCGTTGCCCCATAGCATAGGGAGCTCCACCGAAGGCCCCAGTGGCTGTGACCACATGCGTCCCGCGCCACCCAACACGGCGTTTCGTGGCCCCGTACGAGGGCTCCACCGAATGCGTCCTGCGCAACCCAGTACGGCGTTTCGCGGCCCCGTAGGGAGCTCCACCGACGGCCCCAGTGGCTGTGAGCACATGCGTCCCGCGACACCCAATACGGCGTTTCGTGGCCCCGTAGGGGGCCCCAGTGGCTGTGACCACATGCGTCCCGCGCCATCTAGAACGGCGCTTCGTGGCCCCACAGGGAGTTCCACCAAAAGCCTCAGTGGCTGCGACCACACGCGTCCTGCGCCACCCAGTACGGCGCTTCGTTGCCCCGAAGGGAGCTCCTCCGAAGGCCCAAGTGGCTGTGACCACATGGGTCCCGCGCAGCCCAATACGGCGATTCGTGGCCCCATAGGGAGCTCCACCGAAGGCCCCAGTGGCTGTGACCACATGCGTCCCGCGCCATCTAGAACGGCGCTTCGTGGCCCCATAGGTAGCTCCACCGAAGGCCCCAGTTGCTGTGACCGCATGCGTCTCCCCCCTCCCATTTCGGCACACCCCTCACGCGTTTCGTGGCCCCATACGAAGCTCCACTGGCCCCAGTGGCGACGTTCGCATGCGTCACCCGCGCCCATTTCGGCATACCCCTCACGCGTTTCGTGGCCCCATGGGGAGCTACACCGAAGGCCCCAATGGCGACGTCTGCATGGCGGCCCCGCTCCATTTCGGCATCTCCTCACCCGTTTCGTGGGCCCATATGGAACACCACCCAAGGCCCCAACGGCCGCCCGCAAGCGTCCCCGCCCCATTTCGACACACCCTTTCCGCGCTTCGTGGCCCCAGAAGGAAATCCACCGAAGGCGATACCCACAACGGCGATACTCACAACTGCATGTGGTTGGTCCCTTCACCAGGATAATTCTTTCGGGCAGCGGTCCTTCCCAAGGGGGGGAAGGGGTTCGGGCCCCGGGTAACGGTGACGCTGGGGCGGGGTGGGCCAGCGAGCACCAGCATGCGGGGGGGAATGTCCAGGCCCCCCCCCGCCCTCGCTCCGCGTACGATTGGTGTCGCTACCCGGTGGCGTGGGGTGGATGAGGTTAGGCTCAGGTCGGGCACGTCCTCCTACATGCAGATTGTGGCAGGAAAGCGAAACATAGTCAACACATGTGCAAGAATAATCGAAAATAGTAAAACCATCGTCCCCATGTTATTTCTTGTATCGTTAGGAATGTTCCCCCTGTAGAGGGACACGTCCGACTTAAGGTTGAGCGCCAGAAGTTTAAACCAAACAACCATCCCCCCGTTGTGTGCGCCGCTGGCCGCCACTGCCGCCGCGACGAGGGCGCCCGCCGGGAGAGGCCGCCGCCGCCACGGCCTGCCGGGTGCGCCCTCAGAGGGCGCCGCGAGGAGGAGTGACGCCTCCTCGCCAGGGCTGGACCTAAACGTTGTTTTTCGCTTTGTTTCATTTTGTTCCCACCCATCCTGTGGTGTTGGGTCCTCGTTTTGAAAAGACGGTCCCCGCGTTCCTCCTCTCTCCCCCTCCTCCGCCTCCTCCTCCTCCTCCACCTCCTCCTCCTCCCTCCTTCCCCTCCTCGCCTATGCCCTCCTTCCCCTCCTCGCATGTCTTTGTTTCGGCACGGCCCTCACACGTTTCGCGGTCCCATAGGGAGCTCCACCGAAGGCCCCAGTGGCTGCGCTCGCATGACGCCACCGCGCCCATTTCGGCACACCCCTCACACGCTTCGTGGCCCCATAGGGAGCTCCACCGAAGCCCCAAGGGTTGCGCTCGCATGACACCACCGCGCAGATTTCGGCACACCCCTCACACGCTTCGTGGCCCCATAGGGAGCTCCACTGAAGGCTCCAATGGCTGCGCTCGCATGACACCACCGCGCAGATTTCGGCACACCCCTCACACGCTTCGTGGCCCAATAGGGAGCTCCACTGAAGGCCCCAGTGGCTGCGCTCGCATGGCACCACTGCGCCCATGTTGGCACACCCCTCACACGTTTCGTGGCTCCATGGGGAACTCCACCGAATGCCCCAATGGCTGCACTCGCGAGACACCACCGCGCCCATGTTGGCACATACCTCACACGTTTCGTGCCCCATAAGGACCTCCACCGAAGACGATAACAACAATTGCGTTACTCACAACTGCATATGGTTGGGTCCTTCGCCAGGATACTTTTTCGTTTTGCTCTGCCAATTTTCCTTTGCCCCCCTGCCAGCACGAAAAACAAAACACAGCCGAAATCCAGCAACACAGCGGTTAGGTCCAGCCCTGCTCCTCGCCGCGCCCCTCGCGGGCGCGCGGGCGGTCCGTGGCCGTCCGGGAGCGCCCGTGCGTCATCGGGCGCGCGTCGCGCGAAGAGCGTGCCGCGGCCCTGTGGACGGAATGGCTCGAGCCACGTGGCTCCTAGTCGGGCTTGTCCTCCTACATGGGGATAATGGGCGAAACATAATACAGAGTCAAAACATCACCCCCGAAGTACTAAGCAAAATTTCAAAACATCGTCCCCAGACTATTTTTCCTATTTTTGAATAACCTTCCTATAGAGGGGCCCGACTTAAACGTGGCTGCGGAGCCTGGCGTGTGCGTGCGGTCGGAGCCGTGGGTGCTCTCGTGCCACGTGCATGGGCGCGCGGGCGGGTACGAGCGTTCGACCTCGGCGGCGTTCCGAGGGGCGAAGGCGCAGGCCGCGAGGGTTTCTGGCGCCTCCCTCGGCCTCCGAAACTGGCCGACCTGGGCGCATGTCGTTTCTCACTGAACGCCGACGGCGGCATCTCGAAGATGATGGGGATCGGCCGACGGCTTCGCCATCGCGCGTGTGTGCACTCGGCAGCACGGCCATCGTGCTGGCCTCCTTATTTCTCGTTGTTCCTGGGGGCTTGCCTGGCTCGCGAGCTCTTCTCGAAACCGCCCCGAGCGCTGCCCAAGGCAGCGCCTCGAGCTGCGCCCTTTCTACCCGCCCACTCTCACTCACCTCGGCCCCCTCCTCCTCCTGGCCTTCTGGCGCGGTGTGCTGGCTTCTGGGTGCTGCAACTGACATACTTGCGCGCGTGCACCTTGTCACGTGCATGTCCCCGTTCGCCTCCCAAACAAAAGCAAGTGAAGCCAGTGCGTGGGCCCCGAAGAATTCATTCGTACAACAAGTATGGGGCCGCATGGTGAGTAATCCACTTTTTCTGGAACCCAATGTATGCCAACCGTGTGTGTATGTGTGTGTGTGTGAGAGGGTTTGTGTGTTTGTATGTTCTTCAAGTGCACGTGATGCGCGTGGCGGACAATGTCGGGTGCCCCCAAGCCAACATTCGCTTCGCCTTCTAGCAGGCTGGTGCTCCTGTCCCCCCCCCCGCCCCGCCGCCACCCGGACGGAGTGGTAAGCACTTGCCGCCGTCCTGGACCTCCCAGCCACATCGACGATGTCCGACGCGCGGTCGCTCGGTCAAGAGGCCCTAGGGGCCAAGATGAGGCTGCCCGGGCTGAGCGCACCACCGCTCTCATGGTCGACAACCCCTCCGCCCGGGTCCACCCCGTTCCCTGGCTTCGGCAGCCTCTCTGGCTTCTTCTGCCGGAATGCTTCGAGCCGCCCCTCCGTGCCGCCCTCGCGCGACTCAGAGTCGAGGTCGCCCCCATCGAAGCCCTTGCGCGCGACCTCGCCGCCCTCGGAGCTCGCACGGCCCAGGAGCTTGCGCTCCTCCTCCCACCCCTCGACGACGGAACGCCCTCGCCCTCTCCCTGGGCCCACCTCGACGTTCGCCTCGTCGACGCCCTGATCGCCCACCTCGATTTCACCGAGGATGCCTTCGTGGATCTCACGCGCCCTGTCCCCACCGACGCCCAGCCGTACCGCCTGGCGGATGACGACGCCCCCGTGCGTCATCTGCCTCGACACCCGCGACCACGGATTCACCGTTCTGCCGGTCGACGGGGACATCCCCCTCCTAGACCCGCACGTGTCGCACGGCGCGGTCCTCGAGGTCGACGGGCGCGGTGCCCTGCCGCAGGCGAACCTCGATGTCGAAGGCGAGCTGCTTCAAGTTCCTGTGCGTGATCATGTCTCGGGGTCGGGGATGGAGCCCTCTGTGCGTGAAGATCCGCTCGTTGGAGGCGGGCGACGGGGCGGGAAGTCGGGTGCGAAGAGGTCCAGGGCTCGGGCGACGTCATCGCGTGACTTCGTGAGGGGAATTCAGGACATGCAGCAGAAGCTGAAGGACCTGGCGGGGCAAATCCAGGTCTCGGCAGCTACGGGCCGGCCAGGCCGAGCTTCGTCAAGCTCGTCTGCACGGCGGACACAGTCCGTGGAGCCGCCGAAAGACGTCGGGCCTCTGTATGTGAAGATCAGAGACGTGATCAAACGTGCGGAAACCGGCAGGTACTGCCCAACGAATGCCGAGGTGGTCGCCGCCGGTCGAGAGCTGATCGACGGCCACACTGCAGCAGGGAGCCCAGTGACAGGGTGTTCTCAACCTGTACATCCAACACGGGCTTCGTCGACGACTACGGTCAGGACTACGTTCAAGCTGTGGCCTCTGGCATGGAATGGGACCCCAATCTTGCGAGCGGAGAGTATCCTGAACATCGAGAAGCCCTCCGTCATCGCGTGCAATTCGGAGGCTGATTATACCAAGGCGGCTGAATGAAAGAAGGCTACAGGGTCTAGAATTTCAGTCACACGCACATATATATATATATATATATACATATATGTCCTTTTTCAGGGGCCAAGCGCGCCTCAGCAATGGGCTGCACATCCTGAGGCCCGCAGCGAAGAAGTTCCCGTGGAGGGTCCACGCGGCTCAACTCAGGCCAAGGCCTGGGTTTTGGACGATGGCGATGCTGCTCCAAACTATTCCTCATTGCCGTCTTCCTTGAAGGATGACACCACCACGTCCGAGAAGCTGGCCACATTCTCATGCCGCCTCACGTTCACGCAGGCCTACTGCGAGAACGAGGCTTACGGACGTGCGCAGCAACAAAAAAAAACAATCACGCTAACAAACACAATGGAAAAAAATAAGAACAGAAACAATAAAACAAAAAACACCACTAAAAGCAAAAGAAGAAAAAAAAAAAAAAAAAACAAAAGAAAAAAAAAAAAAAAAACAAAAAAAAAAATAAAACAAAAAAAAAAAAAAAACAAAATGAAATAAAACAAAACAAAAACAATAAAAGAACAAAAAATAACACTAGATAAATAACCCCCTCATCCTTGGCCTCGGTGGCTTCGCGACCCTAACCACATTTGCACGTGTATCATCATACATGCGAATGAGCGGTATCAGTATCACTCTACTTTTATAAAGCGGCCTTTCCGCTGGCCCAAGAGCATGTCCAATCATTTGTTCTCGTCTTGGACTTACAGCAGTGTATTTTTGTGGAGTCAAGGCCTCTCGAAGAAAGTACCCCGTTTTGGCAAGCAGGAAGACCACGCCGAGGAGGCAAGCACCTAATCCGATAGCCCATAATCCGATAGCCCTTATAACGGCGACGAGGCGACGATCGAAAGCAGTGCCCCGGCACTGCTTTGAACGCGTTCTAAGCAGTGCCCCGGCACTGCTTTGAACGTATGATATGATGATATGATGATGATTATGATTGATGATGATGATGATTTTTCCAGCGTACACTGTCCGCAACTGCGGCAATCAACATCATGCTCCACTTGCCCGCAACTGCGGCCATCACCAACGCTGCCCCTCGAAGCTCCGCGGAGGGCGCTCGGCAGGTCGCCCGCTCGAGCCCCACTCGACTTCACGCTGAGGAGGCGAGCCCTCAGGGGCATTGTCCGCAACTGCGGCATGATCAGAGGCCACCACTGCGCGCCATCAGCGCCCCATTCGCTCGAGCTCCAGTCCCACCAGGACCAGCCCTGCCATCTCGTGGCGGGACTGCGCGCCTCCCATGCGCCGCTGCCGCTGGCGTCCCAGGACCCAGCCGCCACTGCGGCCCTAGAAGGGGTCGCATCGTCGCCGTTGGCAGCTTGCGGCGGTGGCGTGTTCCCAGCTCGCTCAGCCCCAGCGTCTCTCCCCGCAACTGCGGTTCCCATCTTGGGTCGGACGCCCTTCCCCGCAACTGCGGTGTCCGCGTAGCTGCCCTTCTTGCCGCCCTTCTTGCCGCCCTTCCTGCCGCCCTTCCTGCGTTCCAACCTCGCGGCGAGTCTTTCAGGTGACCTGCGGCACGAATTGTGCGTGAAAGCCACCAGAGGGAAGTGCGCTCCGTGCCTCGCCCTGCCGAAGGCGCCATGCCATATCTTGTCGTCGAGGTTGCCCTGCTTCACTCTGAAGGGATAGCGCACCCAATCGTCGCGTTCCCTGCGCGCCATCCTGTGCTCGAACTCCGCATCTGCGGTCAAGGATTCGCCAGATGGCGTCAGGAAGGCGCGCATCTTGTTTTCAACGGGCTCAGCCTTGGGCACGTAAGTCTGAAGCATCTTCCCAGGGCCATTCGTGTAGTCGAAGACAGGGAAAGACGGATCATGCTGGGTCGTCAAGACTCCGCCCTCACGGTCGTGCAGAACACTCAGGCCATGGTGAAGCTTGTACTGCCCAGGACAGTTTATGAACAAAATCGCCATGCTGTCTGCCCTGGGCTGGCCGCCTGCTGTCTTCCAGGGGGTCCACGCGGCGACGTCCACAGTCAGGCCGCAATTGCGGCACCAGGACACAAGCTGGAACATGCACATGTTGAAGTCCCCCATGCAGACCTTCACGTCCCATTCCCTGACGTAGGCGACGAACCCGTTGTAGAACTCATGGAGCTTCGTGACGCCCCAGTCTTGGTTGGCCAAGCTGTGGTGGACGTGCACCGCCATGACGTTGAAGGAGCCCCCCAAATGGGGCACGGCCTGGTCCAGGTGGACGCGCACCACCATCGCCCTGGAGTACTTGTTGTGCAGCGTTGGCGCAGGAGCCTCCGCAACTGCGGACTGTTTCTTCTTCTTCTTCGTTTTGGACTTCTCCTGCTTGTGGAAGAGTCTCGCAAAGTCTACGTGTTCAATGTGGCCGCAACTGCGGTCCCTCATGCCAACAAGGAGGGTCCCTGATGGCTCGCCGCCCTTAACGCACAGGTAGTTGTATTGAGTCCGACTCCGAAACCTATCGTCCGCAACTGCGGCTGCACTGTCCCTCGCGTCGTGCTCCCCACTGAGTACCGCGCAGGTCTCGTCATCGCACTCGCAGAGGGCGATGATCTGGGCAGGGTTCGCGCGGAGCTGCGCCCACTCGTCCGCGCGTTGCACGGGTCTAGCTGCAGTCCCTCCGAAGTTGGCCACGTAGAAGCCGACCCGCCCCGCTTCGTACCCCGTTCTCTCCTCCCATGCGTCGACAAGCCCTTTGGTTTTCCGACAGATTGCTTGTCTGGATGACGGGCGCCCGGGCCCAGATTCTCCGCGACGACAACGCTCTCGGCATGTAGG